TTTAAATTATTAAATCTAATAAGAAATGACACCTAATGCCTCCCTCTAGTAACAAATTATTTAGTAATTAATTTAAAATGATGACAATATAATAGCCCGATATAATCTGGTAGTTGTTGGCTTATTATAAATGACAGTTATCTTTCCATAACATACAAGTTGTAAGTTTCAGGAAATCTAGTAATTGATTCTCTCACAGAACTATTTAAATATTGTTTCAGAGTATCTTATTTATAATGTTAAAGATAGTTTAAGGAAAACAATTAGAAGAATGAATTAATGTTTAATGTTCTGCAAATTTTTTTTCATTTAATTCTTAGTTTTTACTACAGATTTTATCGTCACTACTTTGACATCAATTGCTAGACATCACGCGACGACAAAACTAAATACATCAAAAATTTGCAAACCTTTTATAAATGGTAATCCAAAATTTGAACGTTTGAATGACGTAAAAAGAACTCTTGCAGATGCACGCGAACGTCTGAACGTCTTCAGGCAAAATGTACTCCGCCAAAAGATACCAAAGATCTAAAGGATAATCCACACCAGCTGTAGAATCTGTAGTTGTATTATCTTTCTTCTTTGTACCTTTTTCTGAAAATATATTTTTTTCCATTACTTAAACTAAATTGTTGAAACTGGAATAAAATTGAGAATAAAACTTTCTTATTGAGTAAAGTTAAAAATGTGTAATGAATGCTTTTAAAAAAATCCAGCAACATTTGGTGGCGTCATCTGTTATCATATTTTACTAAAAATTTTTTTATGTTTTTATTTCTAACTATTATAAAATGGTGAAAAGCTTAATTTTGAGGGTAAGGGCTAGTTTTATAAAAAATTGTAAATGCTAATAATAAGTAAAATTGTCAACAAGTCCGACCCTACCGGAAATACACACGACCCGCATTATCTCCCAACCCCCTTGACCTTTAATCACCAAAATTTAATAGCTTCGTGAAAAGCTTAATTTTGAGGGTAAGGGCTAGTTTTATAAAAAACTGTAAATGCTAATAATAAGTAAAATTGTCAACAAGTCCGACCCTACCGGAAATACACACGACCCACATTATCTCCCAACCCCCTTGACCTTTAATCACCAAAATTTAATAGCTTCAATCCCTCTAATAAACAAACCTCCCTGCAAAATTTCAGAAATTTTTGACAAAAAGCACAGGAGTTATTAAGATTCAAACAGAGTAAACAAAATCATTCCACATACACACACCCCCCCATATAAGGAAATTACTCCCCAAATTTGTTTTGCATTTCTCAACATTTCAACGTTTCCTAAGTCCAAAAATGTAAAAATCTGGGGGGGTCATATTTTGTCAGATCGCCATACTTTCCCTCTGTATAACAGTCGGAAAAGTAAAAATGTTGAAACATTCTTCAAATTAAATTAAAATATTTATTTGCAATTTGACACAAGGATGTAATATCAAAATAATAATCTTTATATGTGTAGATTTATTATTGATTGATAATGTGACATTTATTTAAATATTTTTGGAACACGAGTCTAAGGAATGTGGCGAATATACTTGATTCACAAATAATAGGTTAAATAGGATTTATGGCCAAATACTACATAATTATTCAGATGTTACTGTTGTCAAGTAGCAAATATTCTTGTCTTTCCCAACTATCAAATATTCAGACAATTTACTGTATTTGGAATCGTATCAAACAGAAGCATCGGAGAGGTTTTTTTTGTACTACTGTCAACTTTAGTGTATTTGTTTTTAAATTTAAGCATTTATTCTATAAATAAAAGAATAATCATCCAAAAATATCTTAAAGTAATTAATTAATGAATTAATTATAAAAAAATAGTGATGGATACAATGCAAAGAGATTATTTTTCCACATCTGACACATTATTATTAAGTAGTATCCTTAATCACCATATTCTGAGAAAGATGACAGATTAAGTTACTGGATTATTTTTGGGCTCCATTAAGACTAATTTAATTACGATTAGTCCTCACCAAATACACCAATTCTCGTCCGATCTCCGAAGTTAAGCGGCATGAGGCTCAGATATTATTTTGGTCGGAGATGTCACGATTTCTAGATCCTCTGGCAGATCTGGAAGATTCCAGTCTGTATAAACAGGTAGGGTTAGTGGCAGGAATAGCACTCAGTGGTAAAAGGTATGGCAAATCTGAATGTTTCCTATGCAGGGAATGGGCATTAGAAACATTACATTATTTATAAATAAGATTGAAATGATTAACATTAATTTAATTATTACCTAAATTGAATCTAAAGATAGGCAAATATTTCACTATCTTTATATAAATCCCAAAAAATCAACCCAAAGGACATGAACTTGCCACTAAGAATTTTTCTAACTTGTTTAATATTCAAACTTAAATTCTAATTATAATATTGTCTTTATCAGAAACCAACTGGACTTCTAAAGCTCTACAGTAGTTTAAGCCAGTGCAATAAATTAAAATTCTAATTTCTCAATAATAAAATACAGCAACGAGTGGCTTAACTTTCCCAACAAAATTTAAAGTTTTGGTGGCACCATCCGTTATAGTCTGATATTTGGTATATCAGATTATAATAGTGCTTTGGTGGCACTATACTATAGTAAATGCTAATAAGAAGTAAAATTGTCATTAACTTCAACCCTACTGGAGATATGACACACAACCCCTTCTATCTCCTCCCCACCTTGACTTTTAATTGTCAAAATTTAATAGCATCAATCTCCCTAATATGCAAACCTCCCTGAGATACTTCAGAAATTTTCAACAAAAAGCATGGGAATTAAGTATCGAAGAGGATAAACAGAATTGTGTCCCATACACATGCCAACATCCATACATACTGAAAAACCCCCAAATTTTTTCTCATTTCTCAATGTTTCATGATCCAGAGTCCAAAAGTGTAAAAATCTTGTGGTGTCTTTTTGACTGATTGTTATATATAACAGAGAAAATATGGCAGAGTAAGTAAAAAAAATATGATACCAAAATGGAAGAAAGGCTGATATTAGGACAATTTTAATTAATGCAAAAAGGTAGATATAGAATACTTTTACAAGGAAGGTTCCATGAAAAACCAGAAAGTGCCATTGAAAGTTTGGAGGATGAGGAATGGAGTAGTAATTTTGACCCATAAAACTTCCAAATCTGAGGTAAATAACTGCAAATGACAACACTGTTGATGTGCAAGAACATAAGACAACAGACCAATAAAATAAACATCCACTGGCTCATGCAGGTACAGTAAAGAGACAATTACATGAGTTGCACAGAGGTGCATGAGTACAGTTTCCAAGATTCCAAAAATAGCCAGAGTTCTGTGGAAGATTTTCCATGGCATTCACCGCAGTTCTAACTATAGAGTATCTTCAACAGAACTGTGGCTGTTTTTGGAACCTTACAACTCTACTCATACATCTGTGCACAACTCATGTAATTGTCTGTTTACTGTACCTGCATGAGCCAGTGGATGTCCATTTTATTGGTCTGTTGTCTTATGTTCTTGCACATCAACAGTGTTGTCAGTTGCAGTTATTGTTGCCTCAGTCTAAGAAGTTTCACATGTCAAAATTACTACTCCATTGCTCATCCTCCAAACTTTTAATGGCACTTTTTCAGTTTTCTTCGAATGCGCATTGGGTAATTAAATCTGCAGAATTTTATAGAATTCAAATTAAAAACATTAAAGATTTACAGTTTTTTTGTGATTGTTTTCTTCATGAATTACTTACTGTTTTAAGGAAACTAATTTGTATTTTCTCACAGTATGTAACTTAAAATCAAGCATAATTTTCAATGTTATTTATAATCTTGATCAGTTTAAATAAATATATTGTTTTATTAAATCTTTAATTGATTGGAATAATTAATAAAAATTATAGGCCTGGTCACAATTAAGGTGCATTCTGATCTGGCATGCCCATCTTAAACAGCAGCTACCATAATGCAACACAGACAATGGATGAGACCATCATGTTCGGCAATTGACGAAGACAAATCACATCTCAACTAACGAAGGGAATTCACCAATCTAGCTTATATTGTTTAATGAGTAAATTGTGTGTGTGTATGCATTTTCATTTCTTATGTCCATCTGAAACATGATCAGGGTTTCGACCAATGTGATGGGCTCATACGCTTCTATTGTAACGAAATCTTTATGTTTATTGTACCGTTTATACAAACTTACAATGGATATCGGCTAGCATAAGTGAGAAATAGAAAACGATGTCCAAAATTCCTACTGTTCACGATAAACTATAATGGTCTGATTATTATTCTAAATTGCATTAGAATATTGCTATGTTAAATCCAGTAACAAAAATGCCTCATGGAGATAGGTTAACATCATACCATGTGAATATGTAGCATATTAAATCCTTCTTTACCCATCATTATTATTGAAAAGTAGTAAACTAAGATATGTTTTTGATAAAATAAACAATTCTTTGTTTAACAAAATATTAAATGTACTAATTTGCAGATTGTTAAAAGTTTGAATAAATAACTTCCATCAAGTTCTAACAGGGAAAAAGCTGTATTGTAGCACACATCTAAAAGATAGAAATTATTATATTGTTCCAAATACAGTATAACAATTTTTAATGAAATTTTACTTTTCAAAATAAAAGATCATAGTAAATACTAGCAGGTTCTTTCTAATCTGCATATAGTAGGACCCTTACATGTAACATTATTGCAACATATTGATAATACAGGTTTGTTCTATTCCACTCGCATGTTGCCAATGCGATATTTCTTTTACTATGTTTTTAGGCAAGATAAACAAGAGAATTAGCAAATATTTTGACTCAAATTTCAAACACGCAGTTCCAATATGTTCAGAATGACAATAATTGTAAGAGGGAGAAAAAAAATTCAGAATAATGGAAGGAAACACATGGTATCAGAAGGTGAGTGACAAATTTAACTGCATGGCTTTCACATGTAAGGCTTTCGGAGATCAAAAGACTTTCATAGACATGTTGCAGAATTCAGAAATAATGGTGCCAAGGGTCTTTCGATTAAAAGACAATCAATTCAGTTGAATGCATTAAAAAAAGTACTCAAGAAGAAAATTGTAGACAATTCTACAGATGTAAAAATAAAGGTCAAATTATATTCGGTTCTTCTTTTTTTTTTTTTACTAAGAAACATTCCTTGTAATTTGGGGTTGTTCTACATTCAAAACAAAATGGTAAACATTTAAAATAATTTCTCTTTACATGTACATTTAGTATTCATCAATACATGTATTGAAAGAAATACTTACTTTTATCACATGAAACATCAACCGATTCTACTTTATCATTGTTTGCATCAAAATCATCGTCAAATTCTTCCAGATCCTTTTCGTACCACAATTTATCAACCGATTTTAAATTCTTCACTGAAATAAACATATGATAAGAGATTAATTAGTGGACATCCAGATTAACAAACAAAGAACAAACCATCTTTTGATATTAAATGGCAAAAGAACCATGTATTAAGCCAAACATTGATTTAATTATAAGTTAGAATCCCATTAAAGGTTTTTATAGGTTCAATTTGCTTCCCATGTTATATTGAATTTACCATTTCAATTCATGTCACTCAAAATTGGCTAATGTGTAATACAGAACAGAAGGTATGTTCTTTGTAATTATATGTGTTATCTTAACAATTTAATGCTATGTAATAACCATGCACATTTTTAAAAAATAGTTGACTGATGGGCATTGTGGGACAGAAACACATATCAACTAAAAAAGAATAAATAAAGGATAAAAAGCTGCCCAGTGTCTGACTGAATGCACTTTATCATGCTTATAAAACAAAGACATAGAACAACACTTATTAGTCAAATTAGTCAACAATTGTATCATCAAAACATATCAAAAATCTTTGGAAATCTGCAATCTCTTATTTAGAATTAATAATCTTAAAACACGTTGATACAAAAGATTTGACTGCCCATTCTCTCTAAGAACTTTTAAAGTATTTACCAACAAACAATATACATACGTATCTTGAAAATGTATGAAATATTTGATGTTTTGTCAACTCGTCGTCCAGTAGACTTGTTTTGGTTAAACCATTGGAAGTTGCGTTAAACAATTTGCATGTTCAAAAGAAATGTCTCTACCAATCAGACATTTGTAAAAGATAAATATTTTGATTTTGTTAAAAACTAAGTCCAAAGCCAAGAAGAATTATAGTTGATGGTATGGAAGTTATAAAGCCAAATGATCTTTACCAAAATTATTAGGCTACTAAGAATGTTTGGCTTTATTCAATTAAAATCAGATTACGAGTTGTTTATATATAAAAGTTATATTCAAGGTGGCCTATAACATTTGCATTTCCCCATCCAACAAACTTTACAAATACTTTATCTTAAATTTTGTCTTCGGCATTCACAAATCTGCAGTTGCGCAATCCGTATCTTGAATTCCATTTGATGTTATAGTCCTACAATAACAGTGAAATGTGTCTGTAAACTTTAGACACCCCATATATCAACCAATTACAGTTACATTCTTTGCTGTAACTAATGCATCTTATTTTAATATGAAGGAACATGCAACAGTGATAAACATTAAAATCAGATATATATATAAATTAAAATAAATTTTTAAGAAGTCTTCAAAGTCGATACGATACCTTCTCTAGCCAAAAAGTTTGTGGTCGGTTTTCTGACTCTAGTCGTCGATATTTTGCTGTTGGCAAAATCGTCCAATGTCACATCTGAAAAATTTAATTTATATTTAAATAGTGACTTATTTTTAATGCAACCTTTAATATTAAAATATTCATATTAACAAAAATATATGTAGCATCATCACATACTTTAATGTCAAAATATATTAGTTTTTAAACTAAATCTAGTTCACAAATTAATAATTTATTAACATAAAATGAGAGATTACCAAATACAGTTTAAAGCAGAAATTCTCAAAGTATGGCCTTGAGAACGCACTGCATATTACGTGGATTAACCTAATCATTTTCCAAAATACAATTCCATGCTGTTTAGACAGAAAAAGAACATATTCACACACTGCATTCTCTCTCATGTTAGGTTACTGGATAGACAAACTATTTTGACATATAATTTATCATCATCTAAGATGATATTTAGATAAGAAACAGACAAGGACGATTTGCAATTTTCTGTGACTTAATGTAAGTAGTCTGCAAATTGATTCCTTTGAAAACTTCTCATTTAATAAATACACTTTATAGTGTATTTATTAAATGAGAAGCCAAAGATTGGTCATTATTGTAATTCAACCAAAGCAGGCGTTGATATACTTGACAAATATATTACAAGATATACAGTAGAGCATCGATTATCCGACTCAATCAGGGACTTGGGTTGGTCGGATAACCGAAAAGAATGAAAAAAAATACATTATTAGTATAGTATATTAGTATATCCCATGTAATTAGTATATTAGTATATGGCTCTTAACCTACTTCGCATTGAATTTTCATCCATGTTAAGCATAACAAAATTAAAAAAAAAAAAATAATAATCATCACTATTGTATCGTTAAAAATTATTTTTAAATTATTTTGTTGTTCACAAAACAAACAACCACTCATAATTAGAAAATTAAGTCTCGTTTAAATACTGGCCTCCCTTTCATGGTTGAGCCAGTGTTGCCAGGTAAAACATACAAAAATTTAACAAAAATAATATTAAAGTAGCCAAGACATACCCAAATATTGTAGCGCCACATCACTAGCGGACATTTGAAATTTGCCGACTAGAACGGTCGGTTAACTGATGTGACAGTTAATCGGAGGTCGGATAATCAATGCTCTACTGAAGCTGTCAGTGTGAAACAAAAAGACGGCCAATGGCTGTTTTTTTTAATTTGATCGATGTAATCACTTATAATTCATATGTGCTTTATTGTGAGGCAAATGAAACTTGGGCCAAGAAATATCTAAAACATGAATCAGGTCAAAAAGTTTTTTCGGAAGTGTCTAGGCAAATTATTATGCCAGATCAACATGAAATACACAACTGAACGTTCCCAAGGTTTAGATAGCAGTTCAGTATCAGAACTAAACATATTTGGCTTTGAATGCAATCAAGTGCGAGCAATTTCAAGAGAAAGTTCAAAAGGAACCAAAAGGAAGCGCAACAAGGAATGCTATTAAAAATTTCCTAAAAAAGGGATATGCTTTCTATGTCCAAGATGTGAAGACAGAAAATATATGAAATCTTGAACAAAGTGCGTGAAATACATTTGCCCTAGACATACATCGAAAGAGGAATGATCTATTGTTAGAACATGTACTGAGTGCAATTAATTCAAATTTATAATAATTATTTTCAACAATAAAAACTGTTTTGAGTTCTAAAAGATCAGAAGGTGAGTGACAAATTTAACTGCATGGCTTTCACATGTAAGGCTTTCGGAGATCAAAAGACTTTCATAGACATGTTGCAGAATTCAGAAATAATGGTGCCAAGGGTCTTTCGATTAAAAGACAATCAATTCAGTTGAATGCATTAAAAAAAGTACTCAAGAAGAAAATTGTAGACAATTCTACAGATGTAAAAATAAAGGTCAAATTATATTCGGTTCTTCTTTTTTTTTTTTTTACTAAGAAACATTCCTTGTAATTTGGGGTTGTTCTACATTCAAAACAAAATGGTAAACATTTAAAATAATTTCTCTTTANATTATAATACATCCTGTTGATCAATAATCCTGTCAATTATACACAAATAACTGATAAAATATATCCAACGTCTTGCAAATCAACATTCAAAATGGTTAAAAATTATAATGCAAAACTGAAGATAAATTTGATGCATCTAGTGGCAACTCTTGTGTGTAGTTTGCACTCTTAAAGTGACACTCTATTGTCATCAGTCTAATATTATTGCATAGTTTGTTGGTGAAAATCATATCTACATTAAAAAAAAGAGTAAAATGATCACCAGTATGCTTAAACATTGATGTATTTGGTGCATTCACCAAACTTCCCTTGGTAATATGAATTGTAGCTATGAATATGCTTGAATATAAATGCATTGTTCACAGGATAACACACTAATGACATTTGCTAACAAACTGTCCAATAATACAGATAATGAATGCCAGCTATACAACTGCATAAGTGCAAAGTACATATATACATTGCTGCAGGACGTATCCAAATTTCTTCGGTGTCACATTATGATTTTTATGGATTTTTCAATGTCACGTTGCAGGACTTTTGATACACCTTGAATAAATATATCAAGAAATCATTTAAATTATTAGAAAAGCTTTATATAAACAAGAATCAGACAAATTATTATTGATAAAATTCTAATACCAAGAACATTAATCATGGATATGCATATGAAATTATTCACAAGAGACTCAAAGATTCATAAAGTCTGTACTTAATGGGTTCCACAACAACTAACAAACAAGTGTAAAGAGAATTGATAGTTGATCTGTCAATGTTTATTGAAATGCTACTGCAAGGATAATGATGCCTTCTCGAAAAGAAGCTTAATTGGAGGTGGAACAAAGACATTTCATTATGAGTCAGAGAATAAATGCCCAAGTATGAAATAAAAGTTTCACCATTTGCCTATCAGAAAAAAATTCAAAATGCATAAACAGTAAGGAAGGTGATACTTATTGTTTTTGGGACTTGAAACAGTGATATTGGAGAACATTATCTTGAGTATTGAAACAATGAATAATACTCAGTACTGTAAAATTCTTTGTGAAAAAACTAAAACCTACAATACAAAGCAAATGTTGAGATCTGTCATTCTTTGTACAATGCACATCATCACATCATTAAAACAGTCAAAAGTCTTAAAAACCCGAAGTTTGAGAAACTGGATCATCTATCTCACAGTCCTGATCTCTCCTCCTTGGATTATCATCTTTTCGACCACCTTAAAGATGCTTTAGGAAGTTGTCAATTTGTTTCAGACCATGACATCTGAGCAGTGCATTCCAAGCTTGTCTTTCAGCCTAAATCTTTCTTTTCTGACAGGATTCAAAAGCTTGTGGACAGATGAAACAAATGAGCCAAGGAGTAGGGAGACTATGTTAAAAAAATAAAGTTGTCTGTTGTAATGAAGTCTACAAAAAAATTGCAAATAATTTCTGACTTA